TTGCGAGTGTGGCTATAGTGTCCATCGAGTATAAGGAGAACTGGGGAATTCTTACTGGGCTTAACAAATGCCAGAAAATGCTGGAACCATTCAGCAAAAAGATTTAGCTGAACCCACCCGCTAGGGTGTACTGCATAGATAGATCCAGCTGGAGCCCCACGCATAAGTTGTTCATTCCTGTTTTTCCTAGGAAAGATTAACATGGGAGGAACAAACTGACCTCCAGCAGACATAGCGCTAATTACTGTGACGAGAGAGCCGCGCTCTGCAGGCGTTAATGCAGCTATTTGCCTCTTGCCCTTCCGTCCCACAATCTTTGGAAGCTTGCTTTGAACCACGGTAAGTCCAGTCTCATCTACGTTGAGATTTGATGCGGTCCAAAGTTATGATTTGAATATTCTATTTCCAGGTTCCTGAAAAAATCTTGCAACGTTTTCTATATTAAACCCAAGTGCTCTAGCAAACGAAGTTCTAGTTGGTCTGCGAACTGACAAAACTGCCCCGTGTCGCTTCAAAAATGAATCAATCCAGCTCCGCCCTGCGGTGTAATTTTTAAAAGGATGCCGAATACCATTTCTGTCAGCTAGAGTGTATGCCATACTACAAATATCCTTCTTGGTCAGTCCATAATACAACCTCTCCATTTCCAAAATATATTTTACTAATTCAGTCTCTATCCTATCTCCTAACACTGGTTTTCTTCCTAATTTTCTATTTACAGCTTCAACAGGTTCGATACCATCTTTGCATTGGTGCAATAGTCTTTGGAGGGTGGTCCTGGGAACATTGAACTGTTTAGCCGCCTTTTTCAGTCCCTTTGTTTTATCTAAAACAGCTTCTAATGCTGATATCATATCTTCCTTTTTCCACAGCTTTCTCTGATTCTTCTTAAGATATTTCCTCTCATTCCCCATGATTCTGCAAACAAAAATGCATTACTGAACTGTGGTCCCAATACGGGCCCCTGACCATATTTCAAGGATCATAGGGGCCCATATTTCACGAATCACATGTGGGATGTTTACTTAGTCAAAATCATTATCAAGCCTTACAATATCAATGGAGTTCTTCAGGAATGACATACTCAAGCTTTAAGTAACATTACACAATAAGCACTCATCAGAAAATATGTATAACACCTAACAAAACAATCAACATTATACTTACGATTGAAATTTTCGGACAGATATAAACCTAACCTATTCTAAATTTCTGCGGGCAAACACCGGTTAACTGATAGTGTGTGTTCTAGAATGCGTTATAAGGAAAATAGAAGGTAGTCAGAGATCTAGTTAATAGATGGAGCCACTTGTTTCGGCAAACAAATGGGGTCCATATTCTGTGCATGTTCCATCACAGCCGACGTCAACTACGAGCCGTGAACAAAGAAATCTGGCAACGTAGGTGGTAGTGTTACTCCCGCCGCTGCTTGCTGTATCGACGCAACTCGTGCTCAAAACGCTGAGAAAACATAACATTTTCAATTTGTGATGTGGGAATCCCAGAGGCTGAAATTAAGAGATAAGCTTGTTTTCTAAGCTTCAAAGTGTGTGTATGTGTTCAAAGTGATCGGTGACTATAATATATGAGAAATAGACTCCAGTTGTAGTGCTTCTGTGTTTTAAAAATAAACTAAGAAGTGTGACTGTGGCTGTTCGCGCCTCAGGACGCTAAGGATTTCAACTATTGAAAACGTGCAAATTCAGGTTGTATTTTTCTTTTTTCATTTATCAAGTATTTGACGCAGACAATATGCCTCGTTGTTGCTGTGTTCCTTTATGCAATGCAAACTATAATTCTGCTTTGAAAACAGAAAACTATGTTTCAGCTTTTCGCTTCCCAAGTACCGAAAGTCTGAAAAACAAAATATAGTTTTGGCGGATGGAACAGTCCAAAATAATATACCTTTGAAATATCCAAAATTGAAAGAAAATGCTGTTCCCTCCATTTTCCCAAACTTGCCATCATATCTTTCAAAAACTGAAGCACCCAAAAGAACTGACCCAATGCAAAGAAAACAAAATTAATTGAGAAACATGAAAAAGCTATCCAGAATTTCGATGATATGGATAAGATCAAAGACTTTCAAGAATTACATTCTTCATTTTCAAAAATTAAAGCCTCACAGAAATGGAATAATAAATTATCTGATGGAAAGCTATATTTTTATAAATTGGATTTTGAAAATGATATCTTAACTTTGAATACACAGATTATAGTTGATGGTCAGATGGAAGTTCAGGTTGTTCATAAAGGATGTAAGCTTTCTTTTAGTGGGTTTTACCATATGATCTCAAAATTACCAGATGGTCCCAATTAGAAAACCTGCTAAATAGGTATTTTTTCTATTTTTCTGAGAACCAACACAAAAACTCTGTTGACTTTTGCATCATGAATGCATTGGAACAACTTGACACAGCGATTTCCATAATTAATAATGACTCAGTTATGTTTCCATATACAAAAAATCTAGAGATTATTGCTGATCAGCTGAGACAAATTCAAAACAGGAAAAACAGATATGCATCACTTTCAATAATAATGGCTTTTACGTTTTATAACCACTCATCATCAACATATAATTTAATTAAAAGATTTTTTATTTTGCCAAGTAAGCGATACTTACAACATATCTCCTCAAGTATGGATATATCTCCAAAAAATGATAGGAATAATGAACACTACCTTTCGAATATAGCAATTAAATTAGCTCCAATAGAAAAAATTGTAATTTTGATGATCGATGAAATTTATATAACATCTAGGCTGGACTATCGCTCACAAAACATTGTTGGGTATGCCTCAAATAAAAATGACATGGCTAAAACTGTTTTAGCCTTCATGCTATCTTCAGCATTTGGAAACATAACAGAAATTATCAAATTACTACCAGTTTCAAATCTAACAGGTGATGAAATGACACCTTTGGTTGAACATGTGATAAATTTAGTTCAAAAATGTGGATTTGAAGTTATTTGTGGTGTTACTGATAATCACCGAATTAATAGAGCAATGTTCAGGAAATTAGCAAAGGATTCATCAGAAAATTATTCTATTCCAAATCCACATAATCCTGATAAGAACATATATTTAACTTATGAAGTTGTGCATATTTTCAAGAGTATCAGAAATAATTGGATTAATTTAAAAAACCTAGACAAAACTTTTGTATATCCTAATTTTGACAATAATGATATTATTCAGTATGCTAAATTTGAAAACATTCGTACGGTATATCAATTGGAAAAAGAAGCTGTAGTTAAGAAAGCATATAAATTAAATTATAAAACATTGCATCCAAATTCATTTGAAACGCAAAATGTAAATTTTGTAGATAATTTATTCCATCACTCAACAATAGCTGCTATGAAAGAATTAAAGTTTAACGATGCTGCACACTTTTTGGAAATAATAAGGAATTGGTGGGATATTGTCAGTAATACAAGTGTAATAAAAGGAGAATTGAAGCGAAACGAATTTTGTAAGCCTATTACCAATAAATATGATTATAGAGTACAATTTTTAAAAAAATTCCTGATATGATTAGAAAAATGGCATAATCTAGAGAATAATAATGGACACCTGACACCAGAAACGTATACAGCTCTATATCAAAGCACGCTGACTCTACTTAAAATAATTGAATATTAATTTAATCAATTTGACATTGAGTATGTATTGCCTGGAAAATTCACCACTGATAATTTAGAAAAACGATTTGGCAATTATAGACTTTTATGTGGCTGCAATTACAATGTGTCATATGATGAAATTTTAAATGCTGAAAAGAAAATACGGCTGAAGCATATTTTCAATGAAAAGAAATCGTCATTTTCTTTAGCAGAAATTAAAACAAGGTTCCAAAACTGCTTAGAAACTCAAGAACATTTTGATTTCTTGGATACCAAACAAAATCCTGAAGTTTTGGATATATTCAATGAAGTATTTGAGACAAATTACTTAGCCAATTGTGACATAGAGGGTAGTACTAAGACTTATATATCTGGATATGCTTCACACGCTATCTCTAAAAACCTAAACTGCGAGATATGCAAATCGCTAATAGTTAAAGAAAAAGGTTCATTAACAACAAATGTTTATTTTGATCATTTGCAAAGAGGAGGACTGTCAATTCCAACGAGTTATGTACCAATCATATTCTACCATATGTATGCCATTTTTAAATCTATTATTAATGTAGATAGATTGGAAATTTTCTTCTTGAAAAGCAATAATCAAAAATTTATTTTGTGTCAGTTAACCTTGCTCAGCATTCAGTCTGACTTTATATACAGTGAATTTTCTTTAACTTGCATCTGTGGCCGCAATTATGCAGATATTTTATCTAAGCTTTTGTCTATTTTTTCAAGCATAATTTTGAATGATTATGTAAAATTGAAAAATAACAGTAAAACTGAAAGTAAATGTATTAAAAACAAACAGGTAACTCCAGATTTCCAAGCTGGGCCTGTTGGAACACAGTGTGCTGACACCAAAAAACGTAAACTAAATAGGGGAGACCGAGGTGGGTTGTGACAGAGGGGAGTTGTGACAGAGTAGATTTCTCATAACCTATGATCGCTAGCAAATTGGCAACAACGCGTATTTATTGCTTGAAAGACAAAGCATGAGCTGTAGTTTGTGCCCCTGGTCTAGAAGGAACGGTTGCGTCTGAACAGCATTCTCGTCTAGAAAAATACCAAAAGTAAGTTTTTGACCGATGCTTTGATATCCTATTATGCGATACGAGTTACGTTAATTTTGCTGTGCAATTTTTTCTACTGTTATTTGGTCTTTCAAGTCTCAAACCATGGTACTGTTTCTTTGGGTTTGCCACGTGGTTTTAGGTTATGAGCATTAATTCCGATAGGAGCACGTTATTTTGTACCTAGGAGAATTGTGACAGCGTGTCACAACTCTCCTAGGTATTTTCTTTTTTTTTTGTCGTTAGTGTGTGTGTGTGTGTGTGTGACTGCATACTGAATCGCCATTTTTTTTAGATGCCCAATAAATATGTGAGGAAAACTGATAGAGGCGTGTCCAGTGCCGAAATATATGAACTAGCCTTTGAAGAGGTGACGTTTAGGGGACAAAGCCTCAGGAGTGCTGCATCTGCTTACAATATAAACTATATGTCTTTACAGAGATATATTAAAAAGAAAAAAGCATACCAGGCCAACTTGACAGACAAGCCTCCATCGGTCGGGTATGTCAGTCAGACAGTTTTTTTGAAAGACGAAGAAAACGTACTATGCGAATATTTGTTGACTTGTGCGGCATCTAATTACGGATTAACAACAAAAGAGACAAGAAGATTAGCCTATATGTTAGCAAAAAAGCATGATAAGAAATTTCCGACATCGTGGGAGGAAAATAAAATGGCAGGTGAAGTATGGCTGAAGCTATTTATGGAGCGCCATCCAATTTTATCCTTGAGATTGCCTCAACCCACAAGTATAGCTCGCGCTACGAGCTTCAATAAAACTAACGTGGCGGCCTTTTTTAAGAATTACACAGGTGTCCTGACCAAGTAAGCACTTGAGGCAAAAGATATTTGGAATGTTGACGAAACTGGAATTACGACAGTGCAGAAACCTGACAGGATCATTGCGCGACGCGGTGAAAAACAGGTCAGCGCAATGACGTCGGCTGAGAGAGGAACGCTAGTGACGCTAGCCTTGGCCGGAAATGCTGTTGGTAACTACATACCTCCTTTCTTCATATTTCCACGTAAAAGATTCCAAGATCACTTCATTCGAGATGGCCCAACTGGTTCAGTAGGAACAGCTAATGGATCTGGGTGGATGCACGAGGACGACTTTTACTTGTTCCTTAATCATTTCATCAACTACGCGAGACCATCAAAGGAGAAGAAAGTGTTGCTACTTTTAGATAACCACTCGTCGCATATGGCTTTGAAAAACATTGAGTTTTGTAGGGAACATGGTGTGATTTTGCTTACGTTTCCTCCTCACTGCACTCACAAGCTCCAACCGATGGATCGTGCTATTTTTGGTCCTCTGAAGAAGGCTGTAAATACAGCTTGTGATAATTGGGTGCACACAAATGCTGGCAAAGTTATGTCTATCTATGACATTCCATCAATTACAAAAACAGCATTTGATGTGGCGATGATGGAGGTGGAGAATATTCGAAAGCCCCTTCTAATAAAATTCTTCCTGATAATGAAGACGCTGCAATCAATTCGACAAAAACACCTGCCGGCAGTTCGTTCATTTGCAGCAAAAATGTCAACGAGCCTGCAAAGACTGAACATATCGCCTCCACATCTACAGCTCGTAGCCCACTCGTCACTATATCCAATGAATTCTCACCGGAAGCTCTTAGACCTTTGCCAAAAGCTCCTCCAAGAAAAGGACACCAACGGAATAGACGTAAAATCAGATCTGCTGTGCTTACTGACACACCTATTAAGGACGAAATTGCTGCTATAGAAGCAAGCAGGAAAAATGTTAAAAGACGTATTTTTAACAAGGATAATTCTAAAAAAGCAAAGAAGATGAATAGTAGGAAGAACCAAACCGATGATGAAGAGGAAGAAGAAGAAAACGACTGTTTCTGTCTATGTTGTCTTGAACCATTTGCAAACAGCAAGTCCAGAGAAAAATGGGTCCAGTGCATCGATTGCAAGGGATGGTCACATGAAGCTTGCACTGGAGGAGAGCTCCTCTATGTATGTCACAATTGCTTATCGGACTAGATTGTGGGCGGAACTAACTTTTTATTTTCACTCACATAATCCCAAAGAGTTGTCATATTCTGTTAAAATTATTATAAGAATAATGTTCATGTTATTAATATAATATACCCAACAATTTCAGTAGTTTGTTCCCTTGCAATTGCAAAATATGTTGCTGTCACAACTTACCTCGACCTTTGTCACAATTTACCTCGATACTAGGAGAGTTGTGACATGAAGAACTGTTCTAGTTTTCGTAAAATTCCTCTGGGAACCTAATTGCTTTCATCAATTTCGGGTCTGTTTTACACAGCTGACAGAACTAGCTATATACAGTACCAAAATTATAAGCATATGACCATTTTTTACTGAGATATGCTTGTTAAAGTGAAAATTGTCACAACCCTCCTTGGTATCCCCTACTTTTAATTAGGTTAACTGCATTAGCGACTCATATATATCACGATTATTTCGTATTTTTAAATTTTTTAGAGCTATTTCATATTCAGACGATTTGTATCGAATCGAACTGTCCTCTTTTCCAAAATTAAATTTAGTTCTTGAACGTTACACGGAGACGGAGCACACAGCCGCTGGCGGCCGACGTTCGCAGGTAGCACTACCATGCCGTCCCAGCGCGGTGTTGCCTTTCTTTCATCACGGTTCGTAGTTGAAGTCGGCTGTGGTTCCATATTTGGACCAGTTCCTCTACCTAAAATGATTTCGTCACTCACCTTAGAAAAAAAAATTAGTAGATTGAATTTATTCTTAGTCGCCGCTTGCAATTCTTCTTCGATTCTCTTAGATACAATAATATCTAGTTCCTTGTCGGATTTTGCTTGTAATTTGTAATTTCGCCACACTTCGTTAACTAACTTTTGTACATTTTGTACTTTCGTACTTGTATGAGATTTTTTAAAACTTTCAAACAATTTTTGGTATAACTTGGATTTGTCTATGTGAAACGACATCTTATTTAAACATTAAACTTTGGCTAATGGAATCAATGGTAACACAAATGTTAACTTGCTTTACTATGCTTACAATACGTCTACTCGCTATAGTATCCAAACGAAACAATACACTGCTAGAGGAAATTTAGACACGTGAACACCGGGCGGTAATTCCCCTACTCTGTTCTAAAGCGAGTAGGGGAATTACCGCGCGCTCTTGACTAAACGTATGCATTATTTGCGGGAATCCCCGAAAATGCGTTTCGTTTTCAAGCAGACAATGTGAGGGTTGCCATTCGTGTAAAAAAGTAAATAACTACCGATGACGTAATCATCATCTAGACTCCCCTACCCCCCATGTCATCCAAAATAAGCAAAGCAAAGATACTCCAGCTATCATTATCATCTATGTCTATTTTGTCTCGGAAGTCCCTGTATATAAGCACTTCAGTGCATTTCGTTCGTCCGAGATGGCAAATTATATATACTAAGTGACATATAAATCCGAACACCCAGTTTAAATGGTTTTATTTTAATAAAATTTTGTATAAGTACTTAATGAAGCATAATAAGTAAATGATAAAAATTTCAAAATGATTGCACTGCTTTAAAGCCCTTTAACCTTTAATAATGTGTGGATGCATCCTGATGTGCTACGCATTCTCCAACGCGCCTAGGCATGCTTCTGATCAGGTGGTCAATGTCCTCCTGTGGTATCTCATTCCAGGCAACCACCAACTCCTCTCGAAGTGCTTCTTGAGTCTGAGGAGGACGTTGCAAATTGAGCAATCTCCTACCCATCATATCCCACACGTGCTCAATTGGGGATAAGTCGGGAGATCTTGGTGGCCATGGTAACAATGTGACATCATTATGTTGAAAGAAGTCTATTGTGACTCTTGCAACATGTGGTCGGGCATTATCTTGTTGGAAATTCGGATCTGCCAGGGTGTCAAGATAGGGTAAAAGATGGGGTTCTAGAACTTCGTGGATATAACGCTGCGCGTTCATGTTACCTCTGATGAAGATTAAAGGTGACCTGGAACCATAAGCTTTAGCACCCCAAACCATAACTCCAACAGTGTGATGAACATGTCTTTCAACAAAAAACTGTGGATTCCTCCTTTCACCACGTCGCCTTCTAACCCTGGCACGACCATCGTGCATGCCTAAACACAATCGAGACTCGTTACTAAAGACAATACTGTTCCATTCCTGATCCCAGAGTGACCGTTGTCTGCACCACTCAAGGCGATTACGTCGGTGTTCTCGAGTTAAAGGGAGGACCCAGTGTGGCCGGTATGAAAACAAGCCAAAACTTCTCATTCGTCGATGAACACTTCGCATGCCAATAGGTCTTCCGTGTTCTGCAAACCATTCATTTGCAATGGACATGGTAGTGGAGAAACGGTCCCTTAAGGCCAATAATCTTAGGCGGCGATCTTCACGGTCTGTTGTTCTAGGGCGGCGTCCAGTGCCCCTTGCTCTTTGCGTACGGCCTTCTCGAAGCCATGCCTGACAACACCTAACCACAGTGTCTACACTTCTTTGCACACTAACTGCAATTGCCCGAAAAGAAAGTCCAGCTTCCCGAAGTCCCACTATACGGCCCCTATCAAACTCACTAAGTTGACGAAATCGTACAGGTTTCCGTACTCTAGGCATCGTAACCGATCGTAAAGGATGTCAAGAACCAAAATCCGCCAACGTTGATTCTTTACTGCGGCTGAAATATTCATTTTTAGAGCGTTAGTGAATTAAAAAAAAGCAGTATAAAAACCGGAATGTCCAACTGATAAGGCTGAACATTTTTTCACTTGTTATTTACAGTAAGATAAATACATTCACCAACTTTCATTAAAATAAAACCATTTAAACTGGGTGTTCGGATTTATATGTCACTTAGTATATTTAGTTTTTAAAAATTGCGTGAACTTAAGACATCTTGTTTTCCAAACAGAAAAGGTTCTTTGTTATAAGATATGTGAATGCGTGGAAACCAATAATGCCGTTTATTTGACAATATTTGTGTAACTTTCGGTTTAGCTGCTGTTGTCAGGATGAGTAAAAGGAAACACAGTACTATCGATTGGTTCCTTTTTAAACAAAACAAACTGTCTGATCCACCGGCACAAGAATTAGCGGAAAAAACTGATGATAATACTACAATTCAACCTGAGCCTTCCACTTCAAAATTTCTTGATGTTGCACCGTTTGCCGAACCAAGTGTTGAACAATCAGGTGCGAAACCTAAAGGATCCAATTTTGTTGATGTTGCGCCATATGTAAATTTCAGCGGCAACTTGTCTTCCCATGAAAAATATACCTTATTGAGGTGTGCAATGATCCCTAATGACTCTTTCAAATATTCCTATTCCACACACTTGAAAAATAATAAAGAAGTGAAATGTCACTTATCAAAAAAAACACTTTGAGAAATTTTCTTGGCTGCCATATTCAGAGGAACTTTTCTGTAAATATACCAAATTAGGGGGAGTACATAAATCAACTAAATTGCGAAAACTTGTTACCGTACCACTAAAGAAATTTTCGAAATTGTATGGCAAAACCGGTAATTGTGAGACACATGAGAACTCAATATATCATACAGAAGCAGTTTCAGATGCTACAAACTTTTTAAAGATTTACGAAAATCCAGAGAGTGATATAAGAAATATAATAGGTTCAGAGCGAATTAATCAAGTATCAGAAAATCGGCAAAGATTGACTCCTATAATAGAATCTATAATTTTTTTAGGACGCCAAAATATACTACTTAGAGGGCATAGAGGTAGAAGACGACTTTCTTCTAATGACAGCACAAATGACGAGGATGTCGTTAATAATGAAGGGAATTTTAGAGAACTAATACGGCTTAGAGTCGAGACCGGCGACAATTTATTGAAAAAAACTTAGAGAACTCAAAAGCGCATGCTACGTACATAAGCAGCCGCATCCAAAATGAAATTATAGAATGTTGTGAAGAAGAAATATTGGATATCGTTTTAAGTCGCGTCAGGCAAAGTCAGTATTACAGTATTATATTTAACGGAACTACAGACATTAGCCGTAAATCACAAATGTCAATCGTATTGCGGTATTGTTATCAAAAACACATTTACGAGGACTTCATGGGATTTGTGGATTGCTACTCAAATTTTGATGAAGATACAATGGAGCCCAAACTCACAGGTGAAATTCTTGCTGAAACAGTCAAGCATTTCATTAAAACCAATAACTTAGACGCAAAACTATGTGTGGGCTTTGGTACTGATACGTGTAACCTAATGTTAGGTGAACAAAAGGTCGCTGTAATGGAATTGCAAAAATGTTTGCCAAATGCTCTAAAAAGCCCATGCGCAAATCATGCCTTGAATCTTTCGATTTCAAAAAGCAGCAGTGTCCAAGCAGTAAGAAATACTGTAGGTATAATGAAGGAAGTAATTGCGTTCTTAGAAATACAGTATTAAAAAGAAAATTAGACGGATATCAGATTCATAGTATGTGCGAAACAAGATGGACCGAGAGACATGATTCTGTGCTCCAATTTGAAAGAAAATTCGAGAAAATTGTAGAGGTACTAAATATTATATCAAATTGGAAAGACCGCGAAGCTTCTTCATAAGCGGAGTCTTTGAAGACTGTCATTACTTCCATCCAATTTATCGTATCATTAAAGTGTTTGTGTCATATATTAGCTTTAACAGTCAACCTGAGTAAGATTTTACAATCAAAAATAATTAACAAACAATACGCTGTCAAAATATGTTTTTTGTTTAAAAAAAAACTTCTTTTTAAAATCTCTAATAAGATTTTATTCACCTAAGGACGTACAGGACTCAAAGACGTACAGAAATCGAATTGTTCTACTATCATATTTTACAGAAGGTATTCATATCAAGATACAAAGGAATGCTATTTTTTAGCTTAGAGTACAAACAAAAACATATCTCACAATTTCTCAGATAAAGGACGTATAGCGTTAAGAGGGGCATTCTAGCATGTCTACGGCATTAAGAGGGGTAGCTGGTCTCTTAACTGTCAAACTCATGGGAAATATTTCAGTTGTACAAGAAAGGCGCGCAAATTCCGAAAAACACTTTAGAATACTATTCGCATCAATAATGAAATCACACGAAACCCTGGGTATTGAAATGACTGTGCCAAGAATAACAAGCAGGCAAATGAACAGAACAGAAAAGGAAAATCATTACAGATTGAACCTATATGTCCCTTTGCTAGATAATATATTACAGGATTTGGTATACCGGTTCAATGAAGAATCTTTGAATCCATACAATTTTAACCAGTAAACAGAAACATAGTCATCTCACCACGCTCCTTCAGATGATACTACTCTGTACATTAGGTACAAATTCCCAATCTAGCAGTATACATTTGATTGCCAAAATTCTCAGTCAGAGAAAGCATGTATGTCTAAGCAAATATTCTTGGTGATACCAAACACCAGTCCTTAATGTGGTCCTGGGCTTTACCAGATTTGTTATTACCAACAGTTCAGATGTCACGTGTTACTCATCTGTTTACCTCAATAAACACAAGGGCGGATCCAGGATTTCGTCTAGGGGCGGGGGCGCAAACGATCTTTGGGGCTGGTAATTTTTCTACCTCAGTGGAACTTCTAGAATTTATCCTATTATTGCTCTTTAAATCCATTGTCTTCTATCTGTTCAATGCCAACTTGAAAAAAAATGTGGAAAGTGCTCAGAAATCCTCAGAAAGGCAATATTTTATTATATGAGAACAAAAGAATTACGTGGCATTTATAATTAACAGGTGTAACAATATTAAAGATTAAATCATAAAAAACTTAATTGCTCTGTTAACCAAAAAAGACATTTTGAGGGACCCCGAGACATATCCCAGCCATTCCACACAAAACAATGTGCCTTTGATGGCGAAAACGAACATGAGACCGAAAAATTCAAATTATCGTATGGACAATTTATACTGATATGTTTTGATGAAACTACCACTATACGGACTTTGTTACGAGATGAAGTAAACATGACCACCGACCATTTATTATAATTTTCAACATTCTTTTCTTACAAGTACAACTATCGCCGAACCATCTGCCCATACAGCGATATAAAATCGATCGAACATCACGATATAAATATCGACTATAGACGTTTGTACAGTATCGATGGCTCGTACCCATCTAATTCCAGCTGTAGCGATCAGCTGACCAACGCTACTGATATTGGTTGGTTCTTAAGATAAATTTGAATATTATATTGAACTTTATTTCAAGAAGTGACCTTGAATTAAGAAAATGACCATAACCTTAATATATTGAGTCCTTTATGCAAAAATGTACTGATTTGGATAGTTAATGCTACGTCATCATTCGGCGCTCCTCTGGCGATGTCCGATTGCGTTCAGGTGTCTTCTGCAGGTACCTCTTCACTAAGGTCAGGTGCTAATGCCAGCGCTGCTTTTAGTTTTTTGCTCTAGGCATGGCCATCCTCAATTAATCGCACAAAAAACAAGTCTAACACAGAAAAACACACCCGAAAACGAACACAAAAACAAATATCTACGGCAAATTCGCCAACAACTCAAACAAAAATGGTTCACCGCCTGGCTTGGTCCGTAAATCGTCCAGGAACACAACACGCCACAGAATTATTATAATTACGATAATAGGGGTATAAAACCGTATGGAAAGAGCTATCTAAGGGTAAGACGAGTTTTGAAACCACCCGAATCATGTAAAAAAATGGGTGTGACGCCACCAAAACGTTTGACCACCACTGGAAATCACTATAGTCGAAATCACGAAAGATGACGATTACATCATTTTAGTCTGTAGTAAAGACAAACGACAGCAATTTGTGAATATTTTTAATGAAGTTTCAGATATGCTAGACAGAGACAAACAGAATTTTTGTTGTCTAAATAAACTGTATTGCTAATATGCATGTATCCGACAAAGATAGACGATGTTTTCATGTTGCATGATCGATCATATTTGAAAGATGAATTGTTAGGTTATGTTAAAGCAGGTTAGGTTGTTTTCGAATAATACTTTGGTCTTTCTGTCTTAAGGTATTCTAATCATAACTGTTTTTTTCAAAACAAAAACTCCCCACTAAGATTATTATTACTCAAGACCATAAAATAAAATGAAAATAAAAATAATCAGTGAAATAACCTAACTTCGCAAAATCATAATATAAATTTGTTGTTATTATTCCTGGCATCGTGATTTTATCATCGACGTACGTCCATTGATTACTTCAGTACAATTTATGGTATGACGTAATAGTCATCTTTCGTGATTCTGACTATAGCTAAACTGTATCCATCGAAGAAACAAAGTAAAATCAAACATATACACCCGTATTGCACGTGATCAAGAACTTAACCGTAGGAGACGCTACAGGGCCGTATCAAGCTATTGTGACTGATCTATCAAAAAATGTCGTACAAGATATGTGTTGCTGTAAATTCTATCAAAAGCATAGTAAATTATCAGGAATATACCACGCCTTTCTAATCATATTTCGACATTAGGAATCAGTGCAAAAAATTCTGTATTCACCATTTCAGCAAAATGTTACTAAAACGCACACGAAAAAAACTTGTGGACCATCTCAATTGAAATTGTTCATATTTTATTATTAACTTACATAAATACCCAATAATATTTACAAATCAACCTTCTATTCACAATGCAGAGCAAATTTTTTTGAGCAAATACAAACTACAGACGTAGTAGTAGTAGTACAAAAGTTTATTACAGACTCCATAAAGTTTGTTAGTTTGATTGCTATTAAAATTTACATGAGAAATAGGAAGAAGGTCAAAATGGCACTATTATGCTTTGGAACTCCTAAATTAACCCTAATTTTGTGTAATTATAAATTTGGAATTTCCACATTAATAACTAGAAACTTACACTTTGATTGCAGTCTATAATGAACTTACCTGTCTTGCCAAAAAGCCCGTTAAACTGCCAGTCTTAATGGTATCAATCGATTTATATGCTGTATTCCGAGGAGCTTGAATCATCAGAATTGTTGATGTCAATTATAAGGGGTTCAACTTGGGTGTCAATGATATTGTCCATATCCCACATTTTGGTTTCAACCTTCTCTTGGACATGGTCAATACATGTTCTCCATTTTGCTGGCGTAATTCTATCGACAGCAACATCAAACAGTTTTTTAAGGTCAGAAAACTTAAAAGTGCTGTTATTTGACGCCACGTATTGCTTCATGTCGGCCCAAATCAACTCGATAGGATTCAGTTCGCAGTGATAGGGAGGCAGCCTGAGAATCGTTTTATTTTGGTTTTTGGCCATTTCGTCAACAATTTTTAAATCATATTTATACTTATGTCGCTTGACTATATTTATCAGCTCAGCTTTGACCATTGTTTGGTCGAAGTCGATCTTCTTTGAGACAAGCTACTGTTGAATGTCTGCCTTTTTGGTGGTCATTGTTGGAATTTTTTCCAATTTTCTGGAGTGGTACGGGGCATTATCCATCACAATAATTGCGTTATCATCAAGTGTCGGCAAAATTTTTTTGAACCAATTTTCAAATGAGTTACCATCCATTTCTTCGTGATAGTCTCCAGTTTTTTTGGATTCAAATGCCCACAATGCTTCAGGAACAAATCCATCTACGCTACCTATGTGGCAAATGATCAGGCGTTTTCCCTTGCCTGAAAGTAATTAGTTATTTTACTTCTCAGCGAGCGCACTAAATGACGAAATTAAGCAACTTACTCTTTTTAGGTTAGTGTAGGATAGGGTCTTAGATTAGTTTTTGGGTGAAGGAAATACTCAGAAACTTGGATGAGATAGCAAAACTGAGTTCGGAGCTTCCAAATCCTTGATTCGATCAGAAAATGAATTATCTGCATCCAAAAAAGTTCATATACTTCGAAACTTACCTGCAGGATTTTTCAATCCCGTCGAAAGGCCATCTAAAAAAGCCTGCCTTGAGGACCTCACAGATCTGTCTACCCAAACCTTTCCCTGCGTATGCCCCGCGTTCACCCATGTTTCGTCTAAATAATAAATTTTTCTTCCTTCAGCGCGGAATTGCCTAATTTTTCTCTCCTCCAGATAACAATTTCCTCCTTTTCTATCAATAAACTATTCCTTCCTCTTTTCAAAAATCGAAAGTCTAGTTCTTTCAACAGCTTATGGAACGTAGATCTTTTAAAATTTGGCAGGTCCTCATCATCATTCACTTGCTTCAATATTTTATCTATTGTAGGTATTTCATTCCTGAAGAAAAAGTGATGTACTTTTCTTCTAATGGCACTTTTGTCAAAGTCATCTATTTTTTCGATGATTTTTTTTCTCGCTGGATATGTTTTTGGCTCAGATAGTGAGTTATTTTGTCTATATTCCTTCAAGATTTTGTAAACACTTGATCGACCTACTCCAGAAATTTCAGCAACCTTACATACGATATTTTCTATAGCCAATCCACTATTCTCTTGCATCTGGTTCTTGTAGATATTTAGAATAATTTGTTTTTCACCTACGCTAAGATGAAGCTTTTTAGCCCTTTTTCTGGGTGGCGTTAAGCTGATTTCAACCACTTCATCAGCTGTATCTGTGTCAGACATTTTAGACTAATATTAAATTTCCGCAAGAAAAATCAAGTCAAGACGTGCATAAAACGTTCGCGCTCATAAACGGGTATCCGTAACTGATTACAATCCTGTGCGTGGTGACGAACCATCAACGTGACGCTGAGAGTTCCCTCTACTATGCAGCGTTGCCAGGCTTAATGTCACAATGATCATGTTTTATTGGGAAAATTGTCAGAAATCGCCGAATGTTGAACAGAAACATTACAAGAAGTCTAACCTTGAAATGTGAGGCTACAAATCGATATTCTTATAGGGGGGAAGGGTAGGGAGCTGTTATGGTTCCTATTAACCTTGGTGAAAGTTGGAAACGGTAATATCATATATGGCATACATTCGGTTGAAGGTGTGTGCACGGAAAAAACACAAAAGGAGATTTTTGTATTTCCCTGAAGAATATCTCAAGGTTATTTCAGATGTACTCATCGAAACTTTATGGAAGGATTATCGAAACCTTATTTTCAATTGCGATAGGGCCACATACCTCGACATCGCATTAATGTGAAAAATAAGACAATAGAAAAAAATTCCCTCACTGATGCTATCTCTTAGGAAAAATTTAACTATAAAGATTGCACAAAAATTTTCTTCACCTTTTTGAGCTTGTTTTCGCATCTCCGTATATGCCGTTCATAATTTGCTGCAGATCAAATTGGAATATACCTTTGTGATGCCATTTATTATATTATATAATGTCCTTTGCAACAGTTATTGCACGTATTGCACCAACAGATTGATTTGTGATCCATTCGAATGTGATCAACCACTCTGGCGAAAACTCGCCGAGCGTGGCAACCGTGCGACTTTGTCTGGAGGCTCGTCGCTACAAGCCAATCAGGAAGAGGCCGACAGAGCGCCATGGCTACCGATCACGCGTTGATCACGAATCAACCACTGTTTACGATTACTTTGTAGCTTCGTTAGATACACAGTTACCCTCTGGCGGCGGAACATGTGGAGGACACTGGTGTAGAAACAGCTGATCCTTAGATTACGAAGTCGTGCATGAACCCGACATTAAACAAGGTTTCCTAAGAGATCTGGGCAACAATCTGCAATTGAATAGATCTCATTGCTTCACACGTGAACCCAGATAGGGAATCCATACATTGTTTAGCTGCTTTATTAATCAGTGAAGACATTTAATTAAGAGCTCAGAAAAACAAGTTTGATACTACCTAAAATTCTTCGAACAAGTTAGCTATTTAATACATTGTACTCGATTTTATAAAATAGGACAAACAAATACTTCACATATGCGAAAAGCCTTTCATCCACTGTAATTTACAGTGCCGTATTTTATTTGACAATAATTGCAGTAATTTATGTTATTCGCAAAACACTTATAGTGCGCACTATTTGCCGTCTGTCCCTGATCATCCCACTGGGCACCCCCAGTGCATATTGCCAACCGTGCCCTTTTCCTTAAATCCGCCACTGACTGTAAACTTCACAGATCATTGTCAAAACGTTGATCATCTATTTCTTCCAACTCTTTGTCGAGCTATACTTTTTCTTAGCCTGAACAATGGGGAAACAATACTTTCATTGAATGTTTCAATGAGCCTCAACTTTCTTATTCCTCAAACCTCCAAGGTGGTTGGCTCCTGATTTCCAGTCTTGTCTGGAAGGATAATTGATCCAATAATTCCAAAATCGTCTACTCTGAACTAATGGTCGGGAATACAAAATAGATTTTGGTTATCTATTAATATCCTACGGCACACACGATGGCTCCGACGATCATCCTCTTCTTGTAGTTCACGAACTATCCGGAAATTTACGAGAGCGTAGGCCATTGTTAAAGCAAAACGACTATTCACCTCTATAAACTAATCCAAAAGGGTTTTCCTTTTTGGCTTCTAAAATTACTGGAATCCTTTCTTGAAGGAAGGAAGTTTCGGATCAAAATTAACAATGTTTTCTCAACAACACGGCCAGTTCGGGCCGGTGTTGCTCAGGGCGCGGTTCTAGGACCAATCCTTCATTCGCTTTTTATCCATGATGTTCCTTGCCCCAGCAAACGTGAAGTCCACCTCTATGCTGACGACACTGCACTTGTCGCCCTGTCGTGTGCTGCTGATCTGGTTCACGATGGTTTCATAGTGTGGTGGACGAAGTACTAGAGTGGGCGGAACGGTGACCGATTAAAATTAATCATTCCGAAACGCTGGCTATTTATTGTACCAAAAAACGTCGCGGAGGTTTCTGTAGACGGCAATCGTGTTCCATGGACAAATTCTGCCAAGTACCTCGGTGTCACCCTTGATAAAGGCATGCCCTGGCTGAAACAAACAGCAGCCTTGAAAACAAAATTCCAAATTGCGTTTCGGCATGTAGATCCTCCAAATTGAGTTTGATAAACAAAGTTCGCCTATATAAAATGATTATTCGACCAGCCATTCCTTATGCGTGTGCGACTGAATGTTTTCTTGCCAAGGCACACACATGCAAAGTCTTCAAATACTGCAAAGTAGAACTTTGCAAACAATTTGCAATGCTCCATGGTATGTCTCAAACGAAACACTACACAGAGACCTTGACATTCCTTACTTGAGGGATTATGTCAAGCTTCAGGCGCAGCGACTCCATAGTCAAGCAGAATCGCGCGACTCAATGGAGCAAGTTTGTAATCATTCAAGGCCACGGCTCGCACTGTAATCAAAAATTAGCGCGAACTTTTAGTAAGCTTAAAATTACACTCTAACAAAACTGAATCAAAATTTGTATAGTTCGCCTCAAAATTAATTCGTGTACCAATTCAAAAAGCCTAGGTGTTTCCTCTTAAACTGTTTTTCTTTGCTCTTCTCCTTTTTTCTTTTCTTTTTTCCTTGACATTGTCTGGTTGCTGGGTAACCAGAACTGACAGATTCGACTAACGTATTAAACAGTGACTAATGGGCAAAGGTCCTACGGACCGCCCAGACAAACAGATGACGAATAGTTAACGACTATTCAACGAAAACTAGACAGACATTTGACAACGAAACATCATCTACAAATTAGCCAGTCGCCAACATAATTTTGACCCTCTGGCGACTGATGAAATTTATTGCTAGCAGTCGCCAAAGTATGCCGTCACACATGTGCTCCGAACAAATAATTTCGACTTCGCCATGATAATTTAAATGAGGCTTCATTTAGAATCAACGCCCAGATATTTCGGGTAAGGTATTATAATTATCTCTGATGTTTTCAACTTGACTTGTCCATATCTCCATATTTAATAAATTTTGGAAAGTCGTGAGTATTTATTGAGGCAGTTAAAAATGGCTTGTCAGAGGCTTTTTGCTATGTTATGTATATGACAAGAAACAGAACTTGAACAAGTGAAACTTATTTACAAAAAGCACAGAACTCGTAAAAAAAGCTCGGGTTGTCACCATGGAGGACTTTTTTTTTAGATTGATATTCACTGGGAACATTTTTATTACATCACTGAGATTGCAAAGAATTAAGGATGTTGATGTCAAGCCATGGTTACATTCTTTCCTCCTCGTGTAATAAAAAATTATAAATGTTTATAATTTCAATTTAATAACAATTCTTACAAAAAAATTGGGATAATTCACAAATTTTCTTACAGGACTGGATTGTCTACTAGTTTTTTAGGCACAGTATTGTGTGCAATTATTGTAGCTTTACTCAGTACTTGAGAAGAACCATTTTCCAATGAGAATCAAACTCAATTTTCCTAATTTAGCCTCTTTACTCACTCTGCACCATCCCAGAAGTTTGAAAAATAGACTCAGTGCACCATAAAACATGGGAATGATCATTTTTGTTCATAAGTGCATGAATGGAGTTTTTTGCCAAAGGCATAGAGAGAAAATGGAAAAGCTGTCAAAATGCTGAAACTTTAAGCATGTCTCAAGACAGAACCATACTCTCAAGGAAATAATTGAGTTCAATCTAAGGTATAACCCACCAAGCCAGGTTGTGGAATTTCAGTTTTGACCATAGTTCATAGTTGACTCCTGACAACTTTATTAGGTATAGTCTTGTTTACCTGGATTGCAAATGATTTCATACAAATCTTATTTTCTGTGAAAGACATGACTCTAATTCTTAAAAATTCCTTAGGGGATTATGTAGGTATAAAGTTATCTCTCACAGCAGTTGGCATTTAAGAATTTATGTAATGATAATGTTACCTTTTAATATTCTGTACAGCATTTTAAAAGTCCCTAAATGTGGTAAAGTGCTGCAATGCAATATTTGTAGGAATTTTTTAATACCCTAATAACCACACTAGACTATATTAATATCGATTTAATATTAAAGCCTTGACAATTTATAAAAATCTAACATTTTATTAACACTTGAATTCAAACAAACCTAGAAGCTATTCCTAATATTTTTGTATAATCAGCCCCTTTTGTGTGAGTCTTCTCCTTAAGAATAGTCCTCAATATAGTAGGTATTGGAACATGGATTCTTGTGCCTAACGGTGTACCATTATCATCTATCAGAACAATGTTATTACTATCAAACTTTGGTACCATCGGCTTCTGATTCTGCTTCAATCCAACTAGGATGCCTTTTTTCTTTTCACCTTTGATCGCTACTAAGACTTTATCACCTGCAACATATGATCACTCTACTTGAGTGCATAGTGCAATGCAATGAACACAATACACCACAAATGTGGCATAAGCACTAATGGATACACTGAGGGGCTATGGGAGTTTACAGGGAAAGAGGACAAGCTATAGAGCTGTCTCCGATGGCAATTACATGTAGATATGGCATGCACGCATCCTAGCTACACAGTTGAGGTCTATGGGACAAGTTAATACCAAACTACCACCTTACCTATCCTTCCAACTCCTGTTTTGTTATAAACATGAATACACTTTGGGGGTTTGCCCTCTGCCATGGCTTGTTTTCCAATTTCACTGTTGTCGACTACCCTCAATCTTGTGAGTTTTTGTATTTCCATGCAACATTGATTGGTGTGAAACTTGTTGAAGATCATTTTACACTTGAGAGCATTCATGAAAATCAGCTTCTTCGTCAGCATTTCGTAGCACAAGACTGGTTAATGCCTCAAATCAGAAAAAAAAACTAGGAAAAGCTAGTTATTTTTATTAACAAGGTGGTTTATTATAATAAAAGTGTGGTTAGGTCGCCGTTAACTTTTTGACGGTTCTATTATCTATTTATATTTAACTACAAATTCGACCGACATTCTTTGACCTGCTCCTGCCATCTAAAAGACGTTTTGCAAATTATGAAATTATCTTGTAGTGCATCCAGAAATCTGTACAGATGTACTGCTACTGTCATCTTTCCCACATAATATAAATTAATTTTTACAGTTTTCTATTATGCCATCAACTCAACTATGATTAGAAATTTCTTGAGCAGATGTCGCTGCCTTCTGTGCGTTGCCAGAGTTGAGAGTTTTCTGTTTATTATATTCTATACCTAATTAAAACGTTTCATTCATCTTTTTTTTTAAGTTTCCTAATACTGTATAGAAGGTTCTTACGGAAACAAAAATCAAGAGAATTGCGCAGAAAATTGGGAAATTATCGCAATGATTATATTTGAGCTACGCGCGTTTGACAGTTCGCTTAAGCATGGAGCAAGCACAGCAGATTGATAGTTCGCTTAAGCATAGAGCAGGTACAGCAGAATAAATATCTCAATTACCAAAAGAGACAGACACTCCTCTCCGCCATCTTTATTCCACAGATATATCAGGGATGGTAGTTTCATGGGTATACTTATCTGATGTTAAGTCATAAGAAACGAGTGAAACCAATATCAGTAGTTAGAATAAATTCATGTCATCTCCCCCAAAACTTCGCCCAAAGAAATGTTTTCTGCTTATGTCACAAAATTAATAGGAAATTATGTCGAAATATGGTTTGGCCGTCGGTGATCCGAAGAACGAAAGCTATATTACTAATTATGTCTAGACTGTGCTACTTTTACTTAATACAATACATACATAATACAATACACGCGAATGTCTGCAGAAACAGATGAACGGCTGATACGCAGGGTGTTAGGGAAATAATATTCGTAACTTTAAGAGGTGATTCCTTCCATTATTCTAAGTAAACAAGTTCATTATAACTTATGTCCGAAAATCAATCGTTTTCGAGGAAAGTGAGTTGTATATATAACCGATTAATTAAGGTAAACGTACTAGTTTGTTATAATTTTCTCCTATATTATTATAATATAATCGATAAAACGTCACTGGTCGACAAGGGACGTCTTATCCACGTGAAACAGTGATTGCACATACATCTCTCTACCTGTGTTGGTTATTTATATACGTGGATGCGACGTGGCATTTTATCATATATTTAAATTGTAATCTTCCAAATAGACAATGTCTAAATGATGATGATAAGTGTTTGGGTGATGTAATTTATATGTAGATACATCCTGGCCCCAAAAATATACAAGCGCATATGGACCCTAAAATGCTTTGCGAGCTTTGTTATAAATAATAATGCCGTGTAAACATATGTATTAGTCATTATTAAGTGAAAATCATCGACAACCTTATTGAAATAATGAAATATGATAGTGTGATTGAGAATTAATTATATTGATGTTTCCCCATTTCATGACCAAAAAATTTTAAATAACGCGCCTTGAAAGGGGAAGCGACAATGATAAAGAGTGTCATAGCTGCATTGCCAGATTGCAGAATTTTCATCACAATCACCGGTATTAGCTCCCAAGATTTTTACATACTGATATTTCAGATTTGGAAAGCTACAGATTGTTTTCTTGTTATAATCACTTCTGTAATGATGCAATTTTTTTTTCGTCTATATAATGCTTTTGGCTGATGCTGATCTTTGTGTGTCGTTCCGTCTTCCTTTGACCTATCCTTTTTTTTATACCTATACTATTAACAATTTCCTAGAGTTCATACTTAATAAATAGTTGTTTTCTGATTGAGTCTAGTACATTTCCTGTTGAATTTTACATAAAGTACATTAAGCTTCTCCAACTCGATAACATTTGGGACATTGAACAAGCAGCATTAGGCAACCATGTTTTTGAACAGACATCCGATCCAATCAAAGCCATTCCCACAATATATAATCTTTTTAGTATTAATTTACTTTTAGATCTCACATAAAATGTATGAGCAGATAATATAATGGTTTGTATTTAAAGCAATCGGTGAAATGTTGTTAACAAGACATATTCAAAACTAAAATGCTTACAACTTTGGACAAAAAATTAGAATACTCATGTTTTAAGAAGTTGTTATGATTATTCAAGTAGTTCTTTCAAATAAAATTACTATAGTATTAATCCTTCATTTTGTCCGCCCTTACAATTCGAACCACATAATTTAAATACTGTATATTGTAAACATTTCTTCCACCTCAGTGGCCTTCTTTAGTACAATCACATTTGAAGGGTTGAGTGGATGAAGGTGGTAAGCAGTGGTGCCATTTCTAGGGAATTCTCCCTAGATCTAGGGAGAATTTACGATGTTTTCTAGTTCTAGGGACTTTTAGGGAAATAGGGAAATTCTAGGGATTTTCTACCGTTTCAAAAAAAGATTAATGAATAATTAAATTCCAATCTATATTGCAAAAACATAAACGGACAATGTTAACATAATTGTTAAATAAAACAGTATACAGCTTTGCTAATTACAAGGTTGGTTGCACTGTACATCTTCTGTGTGAATCACCGATAAGCTCTCCGCCACCTGCCGCCACCGACGACTGTATTACGCATACCCAGTTCAATACTAAAGTGTGACGCGACGTTTTTGAGTGCGTTTAATGTGAATATTAGGACGGTCAAATTAAAAAAGAATCTTTGTTCAAAGTTTTTAAGTTTAGTTTTGTGATGATGGAGTCCGATACAGCAGAAAATTCTGATCAAATGTAAGTTGCATAATATATTATAAGTAATCAACAGCTGATATATTTTTAAAATCGTAGGGATCAACCCTCTACGAAAACAAAAAAAAAAGAAACAAAATAGGAAGTGAATCATTAAATGCCGTATGTGTTACAAGATTTTCGTCTGATAATTGCTGCCAGTCATTTAAAGTAACTAGTGAGCATCTTAAACTAATGAGCCAAAAAAATTTGTACTCAAAAGATTAGTGGCAAGTAATGTATTATTTTAAGTTAGATAATTAAGAAAATTCCGTTTTTTAATCTAATAAAGTTTTATTTTTAAATGTAATTTTTAATATATTTTTTTTAAATCATATTATGAATTCAATATGTAATACAGAAAAAATTGGGGGTGGCGAGTAGACAGAAAAAAGAGGGTATACTTAGAAAATAAAAATCTAGGGAATTCTAGGGGAAAAAAATAGAATGTTAGGGATTTTTAGCAGAATTCGTCTGGCAACACTGGTGGTAAGTAACATTTGGGTTAAAATGAGTTCAGTATATTTGGTGAAGACTATAAGTGAAATTCTGTCTGAAAAACTGGTTGTGAACAATAACAGTTATTGTCCACAGTAGGACCAACCTGTTTTCCGGACAGAGTACTACTTCTAGGCTTCGCCAAATATATTGAACTCATTTTTGATCCAAATATTATTTACCACCATCCAGTTAATCATCACGTGAAATCGTCGTCAGACAGTGACGTCGATTCTATCTGACACGTCGCCCACAAATTAACGGTCTTTCCACGTCGAAAAGGGGCGTGGAAATCACGTGGAATCGCTGTCAGAAAATGACGTCGATTCTATCTGACATTTCGCCCACAAATTCAACGGACTTTCTACGTCGAAAACTATAGCGGCCGATCTCAAAAAGTCCGCAGAAACGAGACAAATAAATCGTGAATCTCGAATGCTGTTACATTTCCAATGTCAGCTTAGGGCTTAATCGGCCCAAGGGGTGCTATTCTGGAAGTCGTCGGAACTTACCGATTAACAACTATCGGTAAGTGCAACCAAAGACGTCATGCCCTAGCCTAGATGCGATGAGCTCGCGGAAAGTACTGCAATATATACTGATAGATTTAATTTTCCATATCCACAGCTTGGATTGGAACTGTATTAGCCTGGACGCTCGATAGAGTTACTTCAGTACATAATATTGTTGCAGATTTATTATGCTATAAGTAAATATACGCCTGAAAATAGACATACTATTGAGGTTGTGTGGTTTCAACTTGTGGTTTAAAAAACGGGGCATAACAAAAAGGTAACATAACTGGAGCATAATTTAATGGGCAAAAAACAATGTACTGAAATGGCAGCATTTAAGAACTAGTTTCGTATGTGTAGTCGTTTCAGTTCAGTTTAGAGCAACAGTCGTTGCAGATTTCAATGGCATAAATAACGAGTATTATAACACATCGCATATATACGTAGCGAGTAGGTACTATTGAAAAGATAAGGTTATATTTCACAACAAACGGTGGAAAGCTTGTTCAAGCCCTAATAGATACATACGCCTAGTACACAATCAACATCGATTATATATCTACGACCGGGCGGTAAATTGGACTTTGTGGATAGGCTTTTTGGACGTTAAATCTCAGTTTTAATCCCATACGGACTCCACGGGGAGATATTGCATCATATTCATTGTTAGGACGTGCCGGAAGTTCCACTGACACGCCCGTTCAATTTTTCTTCATATTTTTAATTTTCAAACCTTAACGCCATAAATGCATAAATAATTATTAGTTCCTTTTTTATATACATTTTAATTGCAATTTTGGCAACTAGAAACCGTTGGCAGTATCTCAAGTTTAAAAAAATCGCACCATATAAAGAATTTCGCGCCAGTGTGTCTTTGTATCCCAAAATTAAAGGTTATAAGTATATGAGAAAACATATAGGCAATATACAATTAAACAAATCCTTCGCGACAGGGTATCTTGTTATTTTCTTAAAAAACAGAGCAATTAGCCCATTGCCGCCTCAATATGTATTAATACCGTTGGCACTGGTGAATACTAATTTACTGCGAACTGGAAATAGTCTTACCAGAATTTGCAAATCTATAAATATAGACTTCTACCAATGTACCAGCCTTAATAACAATAAAAAAACAAACAGACAAAGCCAAGATATGACGAATGGCACTAAATAAGTGTTACATGTTAAATATCTGATAATTATCGTAGGGCGTGTATTATATTTATAACTCGAAGGTCTACTTGATTTTGTTTACTTTTTCATGTTAAAGATTACTGTACTTCTTTTCTATGTAGGTTCGCTAATTATCTTCTCAGATAATAGAGGGACATATCTGCTATTTAATACTAAATGAATTGGTTGATGATCTCAAATTATAAATGAAACTAAAAGTAACGTGATGTATAAAATCATATAGTATTAAAATGGGATCTGAACAAAAATTGATGAAATAGGGCGAAGAATGACATGTTGCATACCCTGCGGAAAAGTTGCAGGTACTGTGGAATATGGCATTTGGTCTACCGACCAGTGTTGCCAGAGCGAAGTTTAAAATATCCGTCACACGTATGGCAAAATTCCGCTACGGTCTAAAAATTTAAGGGGGGGGGGGGGGCTTAAAATAAACAACAAATATATTTTTTACATATTTACTTTTTTTTAAACACTGTCTAAAAACCCTACTAAAAATACAAACAGTAACATAATATAATTACAATTTTTCGTAAAAACATAAAAAGTATACTTCTAAAAAAACAAAACTTTCTTTGGTTTAGAATTAGGAACTAATAAAAAATAGAAACTATCACCAATATCTTAATCTTAATAGAAAAAAAAAACAAATAATAAGGACAAAGAAGAAGCGGAAACGTGGAAATGCCTACGTTTGCTTATTTTATTCACAGTCAGAAACAGAAATTACTTCTTCTTCAGCTTATATAAATTCTTTTTATATTTGTTTAAATGATTCTCATTAAAACTATAGGATAAATAAACAGCACTGTTTTTTTATTCCAAGTCTAATTTAATTGTAAGTAGTGCAGACAAAGTTGATGGTATTATTTTATTTCTTTTTTTTGTTTTGTAATCAAGCATATAAGAAAAAGTTCTCTCAACATAAGCGTTTCCATGAGGCAATGTTAAAATGATTAGAGCCAGTTTACCTATATTGCGAAATAAATATTCGTCATTAAAATTTTTGAGGTCGTTTACAAACGACCAACATTCAATGACATTACTTTTTGTTTTTAAAATTTCCTCTTTCTCACTATCATTAAAATAAATACATATTTTCTTTAGTTCCAAAATTGCCTTTTCGGTTTCAATATGAAGGGCAATTTTTTTTAAAACGGCGTCATGAAAGGTATCACTTATAATAAGACGATTGTTCATCCCATCAACCGGTGAGAGAAACTTTAGCTCTGAAAAGAAGTTGTCTTTTTTATGAAATCTTTTAAGGGACTCTTCTACCGATTTTTGGTAAAATGTGACACATTTTAATTTAAATTGTTCGATTGCCGTGTTATTGCAGTGTTTTATTGCATCCATTGTATGCGGACCAACATTCACTTGTTCAATTGGTAATAAGCAGTGGATCATTAGGATTTTGATTATATAATTTCTCATTTTTAAAATATTCTGGTCGCATAAAGTTTGTACATAGATGACGTACAAATCGCTCACTCTCTATTGATATGATATTGAGCATAACTTTCTCTGATTGAAAGAGAGCATTAAATTGGTTAAAAATGGGCAACACGAATTTAAAAAACATTAAATACGCCTTAACAAATGGATTCTGTAACTCATTAAGTATTACATTTGCTACAGGATTTTTGTCTTCAATGGAAGCTAATTTAAATAGGCTAAGCAAGATGTCCCACTGATCCAAAACTCTATCAACACATTTGGATAAAACAAGCCACCTTGTTTTACTAGTGCTTAAAATTTTTTATTTTGACTTTTTGAGATATTTCTGTAATTCTTCAAGAACACACTGCCTTTTTGGGCTTCTTGAGAAGTAAGAATATAAGTTTTGTAAAAGAGCTTCAACGTTGCTTGGAATCTTTTCAGCTGCCGCCATCGCCAATAAATGAGCAGAGTGGCAAATACAGCCATTGACAATTATATTAGGATTATCTTTTAAAAGATAAGTTTTGAAAGATTCGTTATTGCCCGTCATAACACTAGCGTTGTCGGAACAGTATCCAACAATATTGGGAATTTTTACTTGATTGGATATAACGCATTTTTTAAAAAGAGAATATAAACCTTTGGCGGTACCTTCATCTGCGTTTATTTTAATTATATCTAATAAATGGGTTTTAATTGAATTTTTATGAATATACCTTACAAGAATGCATAGTAGTCTTGTATTGCTCAGGTCTGTACTCTCATCCAATAAAATAGAAAATGGTTTATTTTCCAATTCTGAAATTATTTCGTCTTTAATAACAGGAGCCAGCACATTTTTAATTATACTTATGCATTTGGATCTTTTTAATTTAAGTGAGCTAGAGAGATCTGGGTCTTTAAAACATAATTGACTAACTCCTGTTATATGATCAACAGTTCTAAAACTTATATAATGACTTACAACTAAAAGACTACATGTTAAGCAAGCAAATATTTGCCGTTTTTCCAACTCACGTGCTTCCCGAAACTGAAAAGTGCTATCTAACGTTCTTACATTCGAAATTGCTTGTACATTAGTGGCATGCCTTTTTGATTTCGAATGATTCACTAAATTTGATTTTTTTTAGCACCCATCATTTGATTACAAGCTTTACATTTTGCTTTCAACTTGTCATTTTCAATAGGTCCCAACCAGCCTTTAATTAACGGATCTTCTAGCCATGATGAAGTAAACATTTGTTTTCGTGTCTTTTTCTTAACAGGTTGCTCTGGCTCTTGGTTATCCTGAGATTCGCAAGTCGAATTATCAGGCTCAGACCTGATTCCACTAGATTCCGCTCTTCTATTTTGTCTGTATTCAGGTTCGGGATGCTCCGAGTCCGACACAGATGTAGTCGAAGTGGATGGTACGGCCACATTTGGTTTCACCGTTTGTTTTTTAGAAGGATTTTTATCAAAAAAATCGTTAATGGTCTGCTGTCGCCTTTCCATTATTCCTATTTTCCAGAAGAAAAAGCGTTAAAAACAAATTTCGCGACTAAGATTTATTTCTGGATCAAACTATATGTTAGATATTTAAGCAGTTTTGTTACTTACCAGTAGATTTAATATTAAAATCTGCAGCAAATGATATATCAATAAAATAATCAACACAAAAATAAGAACACTAATATAAACGAAACTAAACAGTATATACCCAGAGCTGAAAAATACAATACAAAGCGAGAAACCTAATATTATGTCTGCCTGCTGAGACCTGTTAGAAACGATTAGTATTGAAAGCAGTACGTACGCCATCTGTTATTGAAAAAAAGGCAAGTGGAATAATTCTCTTCTCTGTTCCTAGATGGCTCAAGCGGCACCAAAGGCACCAATTTTATTATTAATGTGATAATAAATCAGACTCTAGCCACTGCCTATTTAGTATTTTGAACGTTATTAACGTTAAAACAGTGAAATAAATATGATTGTTTTGTATGTAATAAATTCCGCTACATTTTGGGCTAATTTGTTCTACCGCCGCTCTTCTCAAAATAATCCGCTACAAATAGCGGAATTCCGCTACGTATGGCAACACTGCTACCGACGGTTATCGGTAAGTTCCGACTCCGACAAATTATTGTCGCTAAGTGCCACCAAAGACGTCATGCCCCAGCCTAGATGCGATGAGCTCACAAAAGTAGTGCAACTCAGACTAAAAATATAAATAGACTTGCCATTCTTACGCCACTGTAATGCATGAAGACAAACAAACCCAATTCAAAACAAATACAAACAATAAGCTGTGTATGTGCAGACCACAGCTGATTCCACCAGTGGCGTAGGTGCTTTTTTTGTAATGGTGTTCTGGTTAATACACCCAGTATCACCTTCCATGGCAGTGAAAAGAATAAACACAGAGAAGTAAACAAGGTTGTATTATTGGAACTTAATTATCAGGTTTATTGTTTCATAATACCTAGTACAAAGGTATATAAACAAGAGAGAGAGTATTATGTAAATAATAAGAATTGAGTAGAAAATTTCCTGTCCAGAGTATGAATACAAAAAAAAATAGTAAGAAAATGATAGTAACCATGAACAAAAGTTGTATATAAAAAAATATATAAACAAACAGAAAAAGAATAAATAATTGACGCATCAATTTAAATATTCTGTCTTGATATTGAAGGCACAAAAAAACTATTCATTCCTTAAGAAAGATCTTAGCTTAAATAGTTCCCTAAAGTATTTAAAAAGTTTGTATCATAAATTCATCTCCTTCGTTTTATTTAGGCAAGCAAAGACACAGATTTGGTTCAAACGATCTGACAGAATATGCGCTCTCAATGGATTGTATAATGGACATTCCAGGAGGAGATGTCCTAAAGATTCGGTCTTTCGAGTATTGCATATTGTACAATAGTCTGTTTGGTCAACCCTGTATGAAATATTGTTTAGGAAGATTTTGAGACTACATTTATTGTGGAGCTTAAGTTGGATTATAAATCGTTTTATACATAACGGTATACTTGGGGATTTAGCGTACTCTGTAGACTCTGATAGCCATTTTAGCCATTTAGCGCGTCAAAAAGTTCTTGTATTGATATATGCTGATCCAGATATGGATGTAAAACATGTGAAAAGCTAAAGTCAACATTGGGGGTAGGATTATACATTATTTTATAGTAGTCAATCCATGTTTGGAGGTTTATTTTATTTGGTTTAGTGCATTTTTCAGTAAAACAATTCCTTTGGACTTGTCACTCTCCCTAAGTCATTATTTATAATTCATTTTATAATTTTGCTTTTTATTTTTTTGTAATTATCAGGTATTATTGATTTTGAAATAATATACTTTTTGTGAGTAATGATCGTACACGTTTTGAAGGGGCATTCAAGTTAGAGGTATAATGGTACAACTTAATGGTAAAATATTGTTCTAAAACTTGTTTATAGAGCAATGGAAAATGATTACTTAAAGGTTCATCTTCGAATACATGGTCATTAAACACATTTCCGAATCCAAGAGGTAAATTTTGCAATGTATAATTTGTTAATATTTGTGAAGCTCTCGTCATATTTTTTTTGCCAACTTCTAACCTTTCCTTATATAACCTAAAGCAATGTTCTGCATATTTACACACATTTATTACAAAAGCGGAGGCTTTAACTAATTTTCCATACGTTTTTCTTATTTGTAATTTCGATATAGACTCTCCTGAAGTTTCTAACAAATCTAAACAACTCTGGCATTTTATAGACTTTTTTAGCCTCTTCACAACAAAACCTGCAACATATGCAACAACATCTTCCAGATACAGTGTAAGCTGCCAAGGACTTCGAAGAAAGTTTTTAAATTGTATAAAATCGTCATCATCCTCTATACTGTTTGATGATGAGGTCATATCCTCACTAATTTTGATCTCAAAAGATGATGATGAACAGTGCAAAATGGATGTGCTATCTAATGCCACGACATTGGATGCTTCATTGCCACTTATTTCAGTATGAGGTAATAATTTTTTTAAAATATTCTGAAACTGCTTCGAGGTAGGATTATTGCTGTATCCTCCTTTGCTTCTTATACAACTGCAGAAAATTTCCAAATGATCTTGAGATAACTTATATGTGAGAAGGTACTTCAGCTCTTTGGTTTCTTTGACTCTATATTCATACAGGCCCTTTAAACTGTTTATTGAAATTATGAATCCCAAAAATCCTAATTTTCTTCTAGAAAGTATAACTCTAGTGTCTCCTAATTTTAGCGATTTCAAATAATCCTTCGCTTCTTCTAAGAAATTGAAATATGGTTCAGTAGCAGGTGACAATGGTTTCTCATAAGGTTTTTTTGACATCCTATTCCTTGAATTAAAAACATCAAATAAATTGTTTACTGTTCTACCAAAATATGCTGTAGATTCTGAATCCTTGAAGTCAGCCATAGCCAGATCTTTGTTCAAAAAGTCCAATGCTTCTGCCACACTCTTGCTCAAAGTCTGGACGGCAAGTTTAACCATCTTTTCATTCACCCATTGGAGATGTTTTTTCCTCAACTTTGTTGCCACATTCATTCCAGTATCTTCTTGCAACTTAGCTATCTTTTCTAAGAAGATTGGATTTTTTCTTCATTTCCATCAGTCAGTATTTTGAATGTCCCAAAGCAGTTTCTTATCAATTTAACCATATGGCAAACATCAAAAAATATAAAAGGGTCTTTTGTGATTGGGTACAAAAAGTAAGATTTGAAGTCGCCTTCCACGTTAAAATTTGCTCCCAACACGTTGCTCCATCAACTGTAATTGATGTAACTGTGACACCTGATGAGTGGACGAACTCTAAACAGTGCTCGGTTGCATAAAAGTAAAACTGAACCGCCGGTTTTCCAACCGAAGGTTGAAATTCAACTGTCGGTTGAAGACAATTGTGTTTTATGATCCTACTTTCAGGTAGCGGTTTGTCAACCGATGGTTCAGTTTTAATTTTTTCAGTTGGCAGTTGTGTCACCTTAATTTGATGACATGACAATGACATCTAGACAAATGTTGTACGGCGTACAAAACATAGAACGGCAAAAGAGCTGTCAACACTGTCAGTGTTGACAGTTCTCTGTGTCGCCTGTGCTTTTGTTTAAATCCATAATCAAATCCAAGCGAATAACCAAAATGTCTGTGTTATGTGCCGCGGTTATAATATGGTTCAAGATGACACACGGGTTGATGACATCAGTTACACGAATCGCTTGAACGCGTTGGTTTTAACCGCGGTTTTGTTGCAAGTTGTTTATTTTAGAAAAGCGCGTATATAATCTCTGATTATTTTTATTATCACTTAATAATCGGTGCTTTTTCGTCTACAACTGTATATGGAAAGTTTAAATAAGAAACCTTTCATAATATTCATGGGAGAAATGTTTTTTTCAGATTTTTTTTTTAATGATGGAACCATGGCTTTGTAGCTATGATAACTTTCAATTCTCTAAATTTTTCCGCATGTCAAAGAAAACATTTATTGATTCAGCAGAAATGATGAAAAAAGAAATTAGCAAAACCGTATACAGGTGGATATCATCTAGTGAGTTTATATGGCCATATTTTAATATTCTTGTGGTATATGGCTGCACAGGATACTTTGTTAAGCATAGGAACTACATTTAAAGTGTCCCCAACAACCGTAATGAGTATAACTAATAAGGTGCTCCACTTTATGGTAAAACTGAAGTCAGCCTGTATCATTTTTCTCAAAAATGAAGCTGAAGTACAATAACAATATCCAATTTCAATACCCGGCAAAATTCTAACTTCACATTTCAAATAATAACCAGTAATATAAAACTACTCTTGAGGGCCGGTTTATCAAAGCACAGTTAAAAGTGCCTGTTAAGTAACCTCAAGTTAGGCTAAACTGGCAGTTATGTTATGAAGCGTGTTTATCAATCAATCAATAGCTGTCAGTTTTATAACTTTTGGTTTGCCTTCGTTTCTACAAGGTTGGTAGAACTGAACTGAGCGGAAATGAATTTTTATTCGTTGAATTTAAATTTCCCACAAAAAATGTCAGACAATGACAAATGACGCAAATGTCAAAAATTTAACCTATTCGATATATTTGTGTGAAAGTGTATCACTATCACGCAATGACGTCTTTGCTATCACGTATCTTGAAGTTTTCTTTATTCGTGTGGCATTGTTTTACGAAATTAGTACGGATTGTTTGGAAAAATGGAAAGCGAAGAAAACAGTGGAAAGGGAAAACAAAAAAGAGGAGCGAACTTCAGCCTCAGCGACCGCAAAAACTTGTTGAAACTGTCCAACAAATTTAAGGCAGTGATAGAAAATAAAAAAACGGATGGAGTTACTTGGAGACAGAAGGAAGAAGCGTGGATAAAAATTGAAAGAGAATTCAACTCATTTACAACTGGAGTGGTGAGTATATACATATACTTTTCAATTGCTATAGTATGTGATAAATTAATTGATTTCCAATATACAGTTTTGGCAACATTTCCCAACTCTGTTAAATAAGATATAAACTGTAGTGAAAAGAGTATGAATGCAATATTAGTTTTTGTTCCGTAATTGTTCATATATGAATAAATTTTTAGCCACGAACAGCAAAACAGCTAAAAACAAAGTATGAGGCCATTAAGAAGGAGCTGAAAAAAAATATAGCAGCCATAAGTGCTATATGCTTGGAACAGGTGGTGGTGCTTCAAAAGAAGAACCCAAACCTGAGACTGAAGAAGAGAAGGAACTATTACAAACTATCATAGTTTCTGTTGAGGGTCTTCAGTCTCAATATGATTCAGATGCCATAGCAGGAAAGTTCTGTTTTTTTATTTTTACCTTTGGATCATGCTTAATTTGATTTTGATTACAGGTGTAAGAGGAGTTGAAATTGAGGAGATTGAAAACAGCAGTGTGATAGTAGAAACGCATGAAGATATTGAGTGGAACACACCCAGTACTTCCTACCTTCAAACACACATTCATCCAGCTTTGAAAGTATCAAGGCCGAATGTGCTACAGGTGGACGTAAGTGGAGAAGATATGGAAGTAACCGACCATAATACTGACAGTATCAGTGTAGCAGAGACTCCCAGCTCTAAAAGTATCTGTGAAATATTTCTTATAAATATAGGTATATAGATATCTCATATTTATGTTACTATACAAAAATTTTATTTTAGAGCCATGGTCATGTCGGCGAAGACCAGTAATTAAGAAAAAGAAAAGCATGTCTTCTGCTTCTTCGAAATTTGAAGAACTGGCTATGAAGAAGTTAGAGCTGGTGAATTTGCAAATGTCGATTGCAGAAGAAATAAAAAAGCAAAATGCTGCAGAGCATAAAATAAAAATGGAAAACCTGAAACTGAAGCAAGACATTTTGAAAATGGAACTGCAGATTAGAACAAATGATAAATTATAAAATATGTGTAATATATATAAATATAACACATAATTTTGAAATTAAAGATTGCTATTTTTTATTTGTATTTAATTCATAAATAGTACAAGTAAAGAATTAATTTAAAAGCCCTGGAAAATATTCACTTAATAACAGTTCCCTGGCATTCATGAAGTTATTTTCAGGAGGATCAACACTGATATCTTCTTCATAATTGATTATGTTTTCATCCAAGTTTGGAATATCAGGGGGCTGCTCTTCATTTTGGTCAATTGCTATATTATGCAGCACAGCTGTGGCAACGATCACTGTAAGGGTTGTCTGTAATTTTAGTCTCAACCCTGTTGAGAGAACTGGAAATCGTCGTTTCCACAAACCGTATTGCCTTTCCACAGGATTTCTGGTTCTTGTAACTGAAAAAATAAATGAAAAACAAACTCATTAACTTTAATTCTCCTTGTATAGAAAAAATAATGCAGTGTAGTATCTGTACAATGAAAAAATATGGTTCATGCTTTTAGTGAATTAAATTATTTTATGAGTAAAATAAAAAACAGCTCCATATAATGTAATGATTATAAGAGATAGAAACATACCAGCTTCATTATAAAGTTGTTGGACTTGTGTTCTTGCTTCCAAAAGTGGTGTTATTACATGCATTGAATTTGCATAACCACTGTCTGCTACTAAAAGGCTATTGCCAAATTCATTTCTTTCCAATCTACTTTTTATTGATGAATTATCAAAAATTATCTGGTCATGTTGACTTCCAGGCCAGCGTGCAGTAATGTCTAATATTTTTAGATTGGGGGCTGAAATGGTTTGTACATTGATGGAGAAATAGCCTTTTCGATTGCGAAATAGTTCTGCATTATTTCCTCCTGTAAGGGTAAAGTTTTATAAGTACAAGTTCTATAGATACAAATAGATACCATACCAGGTGACTGAATTTTTATGTGTGTGCAGTCAAGGGATCCAATCACTCTAGGCACATGTGCTTTCTCATAAAAGCTACTTTTGGCTTTCCTTATTTCCTCATCATTACTTGGCATTTTTATAAATCTACCTGAGAAGGTAGCTATTGCCTCAGACACCTTCTTCACTATTTTTGAGGCAGAGCTCTTACTAACTTTGATGAAATCACCAACAGTTAGTAGGAAGTTTCCCGTAGCATAGAAGCGTAGAGTCAGTAATAACTGATTGATGGGTGAAATAGAATGATTTCTGAAATAAATATACAATTAATAGTTACCACAGGGAGTCATTTGTCATAGAATTGTTCATGATAAGTTAAATAAAATTCAATGAAATCCACATATCTATTTCCATATTGTTTAAATATTACAGAAAAAATATTCGCAGAAAATAAAAAGTACCTATAGGTATTAACATCAGCAGCGTTCTAAAAACGTGAAATAACCTACCTGTCGGTAACAGATTCGAGTTCTTCCTCGATGAGAGATAAAATATATAAAACCGTAATTTTTTTCAAGCGGAACCTCACAAAAAAATCTATGTCGTCCAATGAATGGAAGAAGTCTTCTCTTTCTCGTACAATATAGGGCCTCCTTTCATATTCTAAAAACTCTACTATTTCCGCATCATCATCATCATCGAACATAGCATCAATATCACCCAACATATTTCAAAGTTTTCACTTGATTTTCAAACAATAATTCTTTACAAAAACCTTGTTTTTGCTTACGTTTTGACACAGACTTTTTGAGGTTAAAATGACAAGAATGACATATCAAAACAAGAAGAAGTCTGCAATCTGCGCATGCTTCAGATCCTAACTGCTAGTTATCGCTCGTAACTGGAACATCCAAGTTGCGGTCAGGTTTCACACGGGTTTAACTGTTGGTTAATATTTAACTGCCGGTGGATAAACATTTTGACCGTCAGATTATTTTTAACTACTAGTTGATTTATTTAACCATGCATTGATAAACCGGCCCTGAGTTGGGTAAATACCACAATTTTGCGGTGATAACTATGACATATAACAGCTGATTCGTGACGTCACGGATCTTATAACCAAACTGATAACTACACTCGCTTGAACGGATTGGTAAATACCAACCCAAAATGGTAAATACCATTTCGATTTGGTTATCCGCTTGAATTTGATTCATGTTTTCTCATAATTACGTGATATATTACCATTACCTAAAAATAGAAGGGTTTATCTCTGCCTAAAAATGACTGCTAAACCAACCAAAAGATTGATGTTTTCCGAGGCACATTGCCACAGTTTGGTAGATATCGTTCTGAGATACAAAAATATTGTTGAGTGCAAGAGGACAGACGCCGTAACGTGGAAACAAAAGGTGAAGTTTTTAATTTTCATTGAATACAAAAAGTTCAATGTTAGTATCATTTCTCAGGCAGCAGCTTGGGAGAAAATTGCTGAGCTATACAACTCTGCCACAACCGAACCACGAACAGCTGATCAACTCGGGTGTAAATTTGATAATTTGAAAAAAGAAGTACGCAAGTATGAAGCTCACAGGAGGCAAAATTTGTTGAGGACTGGTGGTGATGCTGATGAGAGAAATCTGAAGAAAGCCGTGATTATGCTTTACGAGAAAATTAAAAGTATTATTGGCTTATCAGTGCATGGATTGCAGCCATCTGTGGGTGACAGCGATGATGCTTCATTTGAAAATAAAGAAGGTACTATGATGGACATTGTGTAATATTACAGTGAACACCCACAGTTATGTATCTCAACTTAAAAATACTTTAATTATATATTTTTTTCAGAAGTGGCATCTGTTTGTATGGACGAGTCAAATAAAAATACAGAAAATGTACACGAAGAGGATGTTGATCTTGCATCAATGTCTATAGTGTTAAATGAAGGTGATAGTTTTGACAAAATTTAAAACAAATGCATTTGTACAATTTTCACAATTTCAGATTCTGAAAGCAACACAGAAGCTTTAGAACAGACATGTGAGTTACAAACACCGTCTGTACCAGTACCACAGCAATCCCCTCTGGCAGTTGAAGTGATACATGGTAGGTGCTTACTATATACTCAGAGCAATGTAGTGTATATATGTATTTATTTTAGATTGGTCTGATTACACACCAAGACACTTACAATCAAGGAAACACAGAGTCCTTCAAGGAAAAAGAAAAAGGAGTGAAGAACAGTCATCAAAAGAGGGCCTAACATCTCTAAAAAGGAAGTTGTTAGACGAAGAAGCTGCAAGAAACAAAGAACACCATGAACAAAAAATGAAAAATGAGCAGGAACTACACGAGTTGAAAGCTAAAAACTTGCAGCTCCAAAATAAAAAATTAGAATATGAAATTTTACTCTTGCAGAAACAAATTGATGCATAATCAATAAAGTATTAATAAAACTTAGAAAGTTGTTTTTCTGGTGTAGGATAGAAAATAAATTTATAATGAAAAATATAAATCCCATGACATGTTTCATTGTATGAATTTGCTAAACTTCATTAGAAAAAGATAGAAGTACCTACTAAAGCTAAACTTTGAAGAAATCATTAGACCGTTGCAAATACATTTATAAATATATTTCAATAAATTATCATACAAAATAGTGTATTGATTTTCTTCTAATAGATTCATAAAGTATATAAGAAATTCTTCTCTAAAGTTATGTTCCAACCTATGAACATTCCATTCACATTTTCTTCTTCCTCCCATTCTCTATTCTGATCATCATCTTGGAGAGGTTCTGGCTCGTTCATATTAACTGCTATATTATGAAGAACTGCACATGCTACAATAAGAGTCTGTGCTGTCTCCAGAGATAATCTTATACCAAGGGAGAGAACAGGAAATCTTCTTTTTAAAACACCAAATAATCTTTCAACTGGATTTCGACTCCTAATTTGGGATTCATTAAATACTTGTTCCACTTCAGTTGTTGGATTAACAATAGGTGTTATTAAGTATTTTTTTAATGCATATCCTGAATCTCCCAGCATTACAGAGTTCCCAAATCTATTATTTTCAAACTGTGCCTTTATTGAGCTATTGTTCAGTATTGTTTGATCATGCGTTGAACCAGGCCATCGGGCAACAATATTTCTTATCAATAAATTTGGATCAGCTACTACTTGTACATTTATAGAAAAATATCCTTTTCTATTTCTAAAATACTCAGCATTAGCTCCACCTAAAAGTTAGTATTACATGTTTTAATATTAAGTCTTTCCAATTTGCCTAAATTAACAAAATGACTACCAACAAAGTCAAAGATTAAGTACCTGGGGAAATTATTTTCACATGAGTGCAATCGATGGCTCCTATTACGCGAGGAAACTTTGCAATAGTATAAAATTTCCTTTTTACTTCATCAATTTCTTCTTGTGTGTTTGGCATATGGATGTATTCTGCTGCTAAAGATGCAAATATACCAATAACACGTTTTACAATTCTACATGCAGTAGTCTTATGGATTCCAGTGAAATCTCCAACAGTTTGCAACATACATCCTGTAGCACAAAAGCGAAGCACAAGCATAATTTGCTGCATTGCTGTTACTGCATAGTTCCTAGGATAAACATTATATTGAGATATTTTTCTTATTTATAATTTAATTTTTGTATAAATAATGTGATTTACTAAATATATTTACCTTTCAGTTTTCGGTGTTAAAACATTATGAAATCTCTGTTCTAGCATTGTTACTGTTTCCTTACTAAGGCGAAATCTTACTCGAAATTCTTCGTCATTCCAACGTGTAAAGTGATCTACTCGTCTTCTAAAATTTCGAGGGGCTCTTGGACTTTTCACTCGATTCTCATTTTCAGAATCTGAAGAATCCTCACTGCTAGTTTGCCAAAGTAATCTGCCGTGTATATTTTCATTCGAAGATGAAGAAGACGACATTTTATTTTAAATCGTCGTTTTATTGATAGTTGAAAATGCTTATAATAATCCAAGTTGGTAAAATATAAGCAGACGAAGTACACTATTACGACAAATGTAAACAATAAATTTAGGTTAGGATATGATGTTAACCTCCGGTTGACATTTCAACCGCTAGATCGACCTAAGGTTGAACGCAGATGCGTTGAACCGGCGGTTGAACCGTCGGTTCTGGTTTATAATACAGAAATTTCAGTTTGACCGCCGGTTCAAATTCAACCGCCGGTCAACTAGAGATTATAAAACCGGCCCTAAAAGATTGGCTTTTTCTGCGCCAGTAAGTCCATTAATGAGAAAATAGCCAACTGGTATCTTCCAAGAACAATTCAGTGCAACTAGCATGAACACTAGCGCCTCTCTTGCCTCTTCGACAGTGTCTCCACTGTCACCTGCATCACCAATGCTTAGGTCCACGTATCCGTACGTTCGCTTCCCATCCCACTCTACTTTCTTCATTATGCACATTTCGTCAAAAACTAGATTGCAGAGGATCTCTTTTTCTTGGTTTCTGGCTTCTGTGACTTTTATTTTCAGTTGTAAAGCCACTGTCAAAAATCCGGGAGACCCATTAACTGTTGAATACCACTTAGTTATGGTACTGGTGTGGGGTAATATTTTATTCAATTTTGTTCGTACATAGTTGTACGCCTTTTTTGAATAAAAGTGTAAAGTTAGCGCAAAACGACGCAGTTCTGCACTATATTTTTCTTTTTTTCGGCCTCTTTGAATTTTGTTGAAAATGTCTTCTGCAATGGAGCCCTGAGAAATGTGGATTTTTAACAACAATAAAAAAATAAACATGTAATCACTTACATCAAGCATGTGTTGAGCATTCTCCGTTATCATATTTATTCGCTTCAAATGGTTTGTCAATGCTTGAAGAGACCAAATTTTGTTTGCTTGTCTTCTTGATTTGGCTCGTAAACAGTCAATTGTCTTTCTTTGTTTCTTATACGTGTTTTGAATGACTTTCCAGCAAATTGGCCTTTTAAGTGGGTTTTCCAAATCAGTATAACGTATATCGCCGAAGTATCGAATAGGTTTTGTTTTCATTCTGAAACATTCAAAGCTTAAATGCTACTATAAAGCAAACGCCAAATCTACATAAACGTCACCTTTTATCAAATCTTTCAGGTTTAATTACCAACAGACTATACTTAAAGAATCAAAATAAAAGCTTAATACCTTTTCCGTGGAGGTTCACCATCACTATCATTTTCTTTGAGGTTATCTTCCTCATTGTCACCTTTTGCTTCTATGAATGTGTTTAAAATCCTGAAATAATGAAAATACAATGCACCAAAATAAAGACTGATATTAGCTGGCTGAACTTGAAAATAAAAGTCAGTCAGTCACTGGAATACTTCCAGTACCTGATTGTGAAGCACTTAATGTAGCAGATTCAGATAATGACTGGGTACCTGACAGCGAAGCTGATAGGGTGCTACTATCTGTTGTTTGATCTTGTTCAGTAAAACTGTATTCACATACCATTTCTGTTGCTACTTCTGGTGACTTTATTTGTTCTCTGTAAACACTTCAATAGTCAAACTTCTAGATACTTAGGAGATTATTTAATTTCATACCTAGGTAGATCCCTGCTTTCCAGTTGTTCACTATTTGAATGGCTTAGGGCAATTTCCTGGGCAAGAACGATTTCATTCTCCTCATCACTGGAATCACTTTAAAATAGATAAGTAAAAGTATAGCAACAAAATATTCCATTTCATCCAATAGCTAAATATAATTAAGGACTTACTCTGTTTGCCTCAAAAGCTCTACTGATGGAACTGCTGAATGCTTTAGTTGAGTTCTTTTGCCTTCTATTAAATCACTTTTGTGAAAATGATTTCCGCAAAAAAGGCATGAAGTGGTAAATCATTTATGTCAATATTGAGGATAGTGCACCATTCTTCTTGTTTTTTGTTATCACTAGGAAACCTGAAAGATCAAAAACGTGTCTAACAGAAGAGTATTTTTTGAAAATCACCACACATACAGTGTAAAAACAACCAATAACTATAAAATGTCTATTTCTTAATACTAAAAATCACAACGCATCCCCATGCGCTACGCCCTTGTCCTCCTCTAACCTCTAACTCACCTGTGGAAGGTTGCCTCAGTTTTTTCACTGCTAACTCCACAAAGAATGCACTTCCGACGTCCCATTGTCTTTGAAAATTGTCTATCAATGATAAAAATGCTATAATTACCGCTAAAACAACCTGAAAAAACTTTTGAATACTCGCAACAAATTCACTGTGCACAACAACAAACACCAGATGTTTGTAAATTCTGTGTACGCATCCACCACTTGCCGTTGAACACCGTTGCCACGTTCGGCAAAAAGTCGGTAGAAATGTGCTACTTTCGAATGAGAGCAAGTTTCGTCCAAGGTGGAACAAATCCAGTCAAACAACTGACTGGGCAAAATATTATATGTAATGTTCGCTGTGAATTACCCAACATGAACCTGAATCCGTTTTGAATTGAATTTACGGCGTGTCGGCCACCTCTGTGACCGTTTTTGCGAGTATAAACAAATATGAAAAGAAAAAATAATTTTTAAAATTTAAAATGACGTTGACAACTGCCTAGGAGCAGTTGTTTGATCGACCGGAGCGTCCACACCTTATTTAAGTCCACCTTCATTTCGGGTGGAGTGCACACCAATATCTCATTCCATTTTCAATAGATTTTTCAGTATGGAGAAGTGGCAGCGTCGCATATATTTGTTTACCGTAAATACAGTTATGTTGACGATATTTTGTAGGGTATTATTTGTCTATTTATATTTTTAGTCTGAGTAGTGCAATATGTACTGATAGATTTAATTACACATATCGACAGCTTTGAAGAGAATTGTACTAACTTCTACGATCAATAGTGTTACATCAGTATATAATATTTTAGCAGATTTATTGAGCTACAAGGTTGCGTGGTTTCAACATGTGGATTGAAACGTGGGGCATATCAACAAGATATCAAAACTGAAACAGAGCTTAATGTGATCATAATACAATGCACTTAAATGGCAGAATTTGAAAACTAGTTTTGTGTCCAGTGGTTTCTGTTCGTTTTAGAGCAATGATCATTACAGATGTCAGTGGCATAAATAACAAATATATATCCAAATATATAACATATCGCAGAGCGGCTACTATTCAACAGATGAGGTTATATTTCACAACAAACGGTGAGACGTTCAGGCCCTGATAGTACAAAATCAACATCGATTATGGGGCGTGCAGCAAGTTCCGCTGACGACCGTTCAATTTTTCTCCATATTTTTAATTCTCAGACCATTACGTTATAAATGCATAAATAACTAATTAGTGCCTTTTGATCTAACTTATAATAAAATTTTGACAACAACCATTGTCACTAATTGAAGTGTAAAAAACGCACCATATGAAGAATTTCGCGCCAGTGTCTTTGTATCCCAAAATTAAAAGTTATAAGTATATCAGAAAACATATAGGCAATATACAATTTAACAAATCTTGCGTGAAAGAGTATCTTTTTATTTAAAAAAAAACAGAGCAATTAGCCCATTGCTGCCTCAATAGGTATTAATCCTGCTGATGATAGGCACAGGTAAATACTAAGACATACCCATTATTTACTGCGAACTGGAAATAGTCTGACCAGAATTTGCAAATCTATAAATATAGACATCTATCAATGTACGTTACCAGCCTTAATAACAATAATAAACAAACAACTCAAGCTTTAGACGGTCTATGCAGTCTATGTAAAAACTGGGTTTATGAATATCTTTTTGAAAAATTACTAAATTAATGGCCATGTTTTACCAAGCACCACAAACGGATTTAAAAAAATACTGAACAATTAATTATTAAAACTTTGAAGATTTCACATCCTGGAATAACTTAAAAAAGCTAACGTGATCAACTGGCCAAAAGTGATGTTTCTAGTTTGCAAAATTTCATTTAAAATTTATATGAAAAGGCACTAATAGTTATTTATGCATTAATGGCGTTAAGGTTTGAAAATTAAAAATATGAAGAAAAATTGAACGGTCGTGTCAGCGGAACTTGCGGCACGCTCTAACAACGAATATGACGCACTGTCTGCCCGTGGAGTCCGTGGGTTAGAAAGTGAGATTTAACGCCGAAAAGACCTATCCACAAAATACAATTTACGGTCATTGATAACACTGGTGAACAAAATTAAAATAATTTTTTGTGACATGGTCAAAACAAGGTGGTTATTATGTAAAACGTACCCAAAAAGCAGGAAATAGCATTCGATTTTTTCGATAAGGCATTTTATTTGCTGCTTATACTCGTAAAATATAACAATATGTGTGTAAGAGTACTAATAAATACTCGAATAAACATTAATCTCAGAATGTTGTTGTCGATGTTTTACGGTGATATGTTGCTCCTGAAGTATCTCTTCACAATGTCCAGCAATAATCAGCAAGCAAATTGACACTCCGTTTGCCTTGATACCGTTTTTCCATAGCAGAAATGTCTTTGTGGATCCGTTCACCATGTTCTTCACTTACCGCACCTAAATTTTCCAGAAAAAAATCGAGATGAGAATCCAAAAAGTGAATTTTTACTGACATGTTACGAGTACATCCCATTCCAGTAGATAGGGTTTGTATGTTCTGGGACGCCCTTGAGCGCCGACCTTCGGTGCCAAACGACCTTGAGAGCTGAATTTCGATGCCAACCTCGAACTGTGACCTTGAGTTTTCGAGTGACCCAGCAGTGTGACCTTGAAATGTGACCGTGAGTTTCCGAGTGACCTTGAACATATATGACCTCGAGCGGGAGAAGGGAGCGCCTACGTTCGGTGCCAAACGACCTTGAGAGCTGACCTTCGGTGCCAACCTTGAAATGTGACCTTGAAGTGCGTCCTTGAGTTTCCGAGTGACCTTGAAGGGTGACCTTGAGTTGTCGAGTGTCCTTGAAGCGTGACCTTTAAATATGACCCTGAGTTTCCGAGTGAGCTTGAGTGTGTCCTTGAACATATATGACCTCGAGCGCTCTCGACCTTGAGTGGGTGTGACCTTGTAGGAGTGAACGACCTTCAGATGTAGAAGGGATGTTCTTGGAAATATATGCTTAAATTGTGGAACTCGCCGAGAGAAGTCAGTTCTGTAGTTGCAAGTGACGCAAATGGTATGGTACTAGTGGGATGCAGAATATAATATTGGCGAAGAAAAGTAGGTGTTTAGTCTGTCAAATGGAGAAACTGTTGGAGCATGCAAAGGAGTTTCGCTGGATTCGTAGGTGGTGTTGTTGCAGGACATTTTTATTTTATTGTTGGACGTGTACTCAACCCCGTCCCCATAAAATAGGGTGGATCTTCGAAACGGATGACGAAAATCATTGGTGTTGGAACCGGGACTCGCCATAGAAGTAATGTCAGTAGGGAATGATATAGAGTGCGATATCCATATGAATTGATATATGAAAGAAGTGCAATAAGTAATGCATAGGTATGTAGAATGGAGCGTGTCAAGAAAGTTATGCGAGGGGTGTAGAATGGAGCGAAGGCCGTTGTCAGCAATATTACTACATCGGTACCACAATGATGGGATCAATAGTATGTGAGACGTGTATCATAGGAGCAAAGTATGCCCTATTTAGTACATGCGACGGATATATGAATAAGCTCCGCAAACATAGTAAGAACTTAGCAAAGTGTTTGTACTGCGAAAGGCGAATAGCATCGAATAGTATACGTAAGTGTGACAACATTCCGCTGGGAGGCAAGCATCTGTATTGCAGCCGAAGAAAGAAAATGGGACAGTTAGGAGGAAAAGCAGATCGAGTGTGAAGGTAAGTGAAGGAAAAAAAATGTGTGGATAAGTTGAGAGAATAATGAGTGTACGGTTGTAGAAGCAAGACGATAGCTAAAAAATTCAAAAATCGGTCATTTAAGAGAAATTAGAGTGAAAAACGTGGATTGGGTGTTATTATCTTAAAGCTAATACACTTTACAGAATCCTTAAAACCTACAATCTTACAAATAAAATCTTAAAACTAAATCCTTAAAGTTAACTCCTTAAAACTAATACACATTAGGGGCTGATATACCCTGAATCGCTGGATGGATCGTCCAGATCCCACACGAGATTGTCATCCTGAAATGCTTCAGGAATGGCAACCTCAGGTGGGTCGTCAAGAGGAGCAAGGCCGACGTGGACATCAAGCTCGACCTCAGAATCGCTCTCGGACGAAGATGCCTCCTCCGCGCCCTCCCTCTCATCTTCGTCGGCAGACTCGATGTCGACAACGCCGTCTAACAAATCATTGCCAACATCGGGTGCAGTAGCTCCCGAAATTACGGTAGAGGCTGTGCTGTCGAAGAGGAGTGGACTAGCCAAGCCATCTTCATGGAAGATATACAGATGATTTGGATCCTGACCACCCATGACGATGACTGGGGAGCGACGGAATGGAAAGACGACTATAGTGAGTATATAAGGATGCTCTCCTCCTCCGTCACAAGCTCGGGAGAATTCG